CCAATTTGCTTCTTCCTTCCCTTCCTCCTAGGTCCAGGCACATGGGAACAGAGGGAAGAAGGGAGGGAGGAAGGCTGTTTCCCAGCCTGGGGGGCTCAGTTCCTGTGATCCATCCACCCCATCTAGAAGCTTTCCCCGACTCAAGATGAGCTATGTATTCCGTTTATCTTCTTTCTCCGATGCCTACCACAGCCAATGCCCCTGGAGGAAGACAGGGGGCAGATCCAAGGATACCTGGTCTCCTGGAGACCCTCAGGCCAGCTGGAGACAGTCTCACCTCTCTGCAACACCACGGAGCTAAACTGCACCTTCCACTTGCCTTCAGAAGCCCGGGAGGTGATCCTTGTGGCCTATAACACAGGCGGGACCTCTCGTCCCACCCCAGTGGTCTTCTTGAAGAGCGGAGGTAAAGGGGCCTGGCAATTAGTAGAGCCTGGTAGTCAAGCATGTACATTCAAAGGTTAAACAGCCTAGATTCAAATCAAGTCCTGTCACTTGCTAACAGTATGACCTGGGCAAGTTACTTAACCTCCCTGGTCTCTGTTTACTCATCTAGCAAATGGGGATGATACAGTGCCTACCTCAAAGGATTGTTGTGAAGATTACATGAGTTAAGGCATGTGCCTGGCATAAAGTAAGTGCTCAATATGTGTTAGCTGTTATCCTTATCATGAGCCAAAACCAGGTTCACACACACACACACACACACACGGTCCATTCTGCCAAGGAAGACAGGAGAGAAAGCCCTACGGTTTTCTAGCTGGAACGCAGTGCCTGAGTTAGTTGCTCATTCTCAGGGAATCAGCCACTTCTAACTCCCGGGTTCCTCTGAACATGGGTCCTCACAGGGTGAGGCTAACAATAACAGGAGTTAATACTCCCGCCAACTAGCTGCGTACCTGAAACAAGTTACTTAACCTCTCTGTGTCTATTTCCTAACTGATGAAATGGGGACAATAGTAGTGCCCCTCCACCCCATGGCACTGTTTGTGGCCTCGGTGCATTAACATACACCAAAGGCTGTACCTGGCACAAACCAAGAACTACGTAGTGTTTGACAGCTTTTCTCGTTATCAAGCACTATTCTTGCTAGGCACTACGCTAGGCTCATTCCAGTCATTATCTCATTTAATCTGCACCCAAGCCCTTTATCATCACTTCCACTTCACAGATGAGGAAACTGAGGCTCAGATGTTGATTTGCCCAAGGTCACCCAACTTGTAAGTAGCAAAGCCAGGATTCTGGTTCCAGGTTCTAGCTCCAAGACCCACATTCTTTTCACCTTCATCTCCTACTCTGTCTCCAGGCCCACCCCTGGGCAGACTCTATACAGTGGCCCAAGACCCTCACAGCCTCTGGGTGGGCTGGGAGCCCTCCAAACCTCAGCCTCGGGGCTATGTGATTGAGTGGGGCCTGCATACCCCCAGCCCCAGCGGCAGCCATAAGACCTGGAAGATGGAGCATAATGGAAGCATTGCAGGGACCCTACTACAAGGTAAGGCAGTGAGGGAGGGGGATGTAGGCAGGCAGGGCCAAAAGAGGGGGAGGCAGTGATTGTCTGACAGTGGGGCAGGGGCAACCTGAACCACCCTAGACAAGTAGATTCCCAAGTCTTTCTTGATCCTTCACTGTTCCCACCTCAGACCTTCAGGAAGTTCTTCCTACAGTCTAACTGGACCTACTGCTAAGGCCTTGACCTGCCACTTTTCTAGCTCTCTTCCACTTTTGCCCCTTACCCCCATCAAATGATCTGAAGAAGAGATCGCAGAGGCTTGTCCTGCAGTGTGAGGCCCTGGTTATCCGTGGCTAGAGGTCTGAGGTTAGCTCCTGATCACAGCAGAAGTTAGCCCCTAACCAGAGTGCCTACTCCATTTTCTCTCTGCAGAGAACATCTGGCCCTTTCAGCTCTACGAGATCACTGTGACTCCCCTGTACCAGGACACCATTGGACCCTCCCAGCATATCTATGCCTACTCCCAAGAGACGGGTTCGTCAGCCACCAGGCCCCTTCTCAGAATCTTCTCCTCTATCTCAATGCCCGCCTAGGCCCAACAATCAGGACTATGAGGGGACGTTTCCTTCTTCCCCTACCTCTGGCCCAAAGAGGGTCCCTCCCAAGCCTAAGAATGCCCCTGGCTTACACTGGACCCCTGCAGCTGGAAAGAAGTCAAGTGTTGGGGTGAGAGAAATTAGGCAGCGAATCTGGCAGAATTCAGGGAGCAAGTCTGATAAAAATCAATAGTTCTGATAGAAATCAGGTGTCATGTGTGATAGATATTAGACAGAAGGCCTGGCATAAATTCAGAGAGTGAGCAGCAGAAATTGAACAGTGAGTTGGACAAAGGCCTGGTAGAAATCAGATATCAAGGCTTTCGAGTCAAAGAGAACCAGTTTCAAATCCTGGCTCTGCCACTTATTAAAAGTAAATGAGGCTTGGACACGAGCCCCTTAGACTCTCTTAGATCACCCACCATGCAGTATGTCCCAGTTCTTAGGTCTGGAGAGCCACAAGAAGTCTGAATGGGCTCTCCACCCTGCCTCTTATCAGCCCTGCACCTTTCTTCCTACAGCCCCGTCCCACGCCCCAGAGCTGCATCTAAAGCACATTGGCAAGACCTGGGCCCAGCTGGAGTGGGTGCCCCAGGCCCCTGAGCTGGGGAAGAGCCCCCTTACCCACTACACCATCTTCTGGACCAATGCGCAGGGCCAGTCCTTCTGTGAGTCTATCCTCAGCACCCCACAGACCCAGAAAGCCTGGGAGAGGGTGCTCGGCAGCCTTGGTTGGAGCCTCAGCCTCTGGGCCCAAGCTGATCACTCTCCTCTTCTCCCAGCCACCATCCTGAATGCTTCCTCCCATGGCTTTGTCCTCCACGGCCTAGAGCCTGCCAGCTTGTACCACGTCCACCTCATGGTTACCAGCCAGGGAGGGGCCACCAACAGTACAAGCCTCATCCTGGTGACCTTGGGCCTAGGTAAGGGGAGAAGGGGGCTGGCCAGACAAGGCTATTGGGAGGGTGCCTCACCCAAAAGATCTCCATTTGTAGAGTAGACAGGCCTTGCCTGAATCCCCTGGTCTGAGGGAGGAGGCCCAGCCTTATTCACGTGCACTTTAACCTCTCGACTTCCCCTCACCTCAGAGGAGTCTGAACTGTACATCATCCTGGGCCTGTTCGGCCTCCTGCTCTTGCTCACCTGCCTCTGTGGGGCTGCCTGGCTCTGCTGCAGACCCAGGTGAGTCCTCTTGAGAGACCTGACACTCAGCTACCCCTGCCCACAGGGAACTGTAGGCCCAAGTGGGACAGTCTAAGTTCTTCCCAGTCTTCCCAGGCCTCAGGGCACATGTCTGGGAGTCAGGCCCTCCACCTCTCCTCTCTGCACTAAGGGGCCATCCCTTCAGCTATTGAAATGGGTGGGAGAAAGGATGGAAAGATGGGAGGGCATGCCTGACTCGCCTTCTTCTGCTCCCTTCTCCAGCAGAAAGAATCCCCTCTGGCCAAGTGTCCCAGACCCAGCCCACAGCAGCCTGGGCTCCTGGGTGCCTACCATCACGGCAGAGGTGAGAATACGGAGGGAAAGGGAAATGGAGCTGGGGGTGTCAGCCCAGGCTTGAAATGAAGGGGTGCCCCTCTGAGGTTCAGTACTCAGGACTTCTCATCACTTTCTAGCAAGATCCCCTCCCTTTGGAGTACAGCAGGACTGAATTTGAATCCCAGCTCTACCCATTTCAAAGCCTCAGTCATCCCACTGTGAAATGGGACTAATTCCACATAGAATAATTGGGGAGATTCACCGAGCTAAGTCTGAACAGCACATAGCATGTATCATGGACATATGAGATGCTTTACAGGTGTATCCCTTTGAGTTCCAGCAGAGAGCAACGGGAATGTCCCTACACTGTCCCAACAGTGGCTGTAGATATCTGAAATAAGTAATGCCCTCACCCTATGTCCTTGTGTCCAGGAGATCTTCCAGCTGCCCAGCCTTTGGGACCCCAGCGTGCTACCCATCACCAAGATTACAGTTCTGGAGGAAGAAGAGAAGAAGCCAGGGCCCTGGGAGTCTAATGACAGCTCAGGAACCTGTGGCCTTCCCACCTTGGTCCAGGCCTATGTGCTCCAGGGGGACCCAAGAGCACCTTCTATCCAGCCCCAGTCCCAGTCTGGCACCAATGACCAGGTCCTTTATGGGCAGTTGCTGGGCAGCCCCGCCAGCCCAGTGCCAGGGCACTACATCCGCTGTGACTCCACTCAGCCCCTCTTGGGGGGCCTTACCCCCAGCCCCAAGTCTTATGAGAACCTCTGGTTCCAGACCAGCCCCCAGAGGACCCCGGAGCCTCTAGTCCCAAACCAGGAGGATGACTGTGTCTTTGGGCCACTGCTTGACTTTCCTCTCCTGCAGGGTCTCCAGGTCCATGGGGTGGAAGGGCTGGGGGTCTTCTAGGGCTTCCTGGGACACCCCACCTGCTCCTTCAAAGGCCTTGGCCATCCAGAGAAGAGGAGAGGATCAGTAAGCCTGTCACGAAAAAAAACACCCTGCCCCAGGAAAGGCAAAAAGGCTCCCAGTCTCCCCCTATCCCTCAGTCTTAGTATCCCTCCACCACTTTCCCAATTCCCATGGGCTGGGCCTCCCACTTTGAAGATCACAGAATGCTTCCTCCCACCTCTCCCACTAGCCCTTTGTGCTTATTTCCTGTAATTTCAGTCACTTAAGGTGGTTTATGGTTTGGTATGTTTTTATTTTGAAAAAGCCTTGAGTATGTCTGAGTCTCTGTTCTTTTTATTTTCAGGACCCTAGCAGTTGGGGGGTGGAGGAGATTCTCAGTACCTCTCAGACTTGTTCATTTGTTTATTTTTCCTTAATTCATTCATTCAACCAGCCCTCACCTAGCATCTAGGCCCTATGCTGGCAGCAGGGACGCAAAAATTACTTGGCTCAGTCCATCCTCAAAGAGCTCACATTCTAGTGGTAGAGACTAGAAAACTGACCACTAGGACACAGTGACCAGGGTTACCTGGAGGGAGTCACCCAGTACTGTGGGACACAGGGAATAGATCTCAGAAAAAAGTAACCTCTGTTGGGGAAAAATAATTAAAAACAATCTCCTGCCAACCTAGAAAACCTCTCTATGAGGACAGAAGAAAAAAAGTTCTATTATTGAATGAGCGTAAACCAGAATGTGATGCACATCGCAGGGAATCAAATAAAGAGCTCGCAAAGGCAGAAAGAAATATTACCCTTTTATATAGCCAAGTGGATACAACTTATTGCATACATTTTGTCAGGATAAACAATAACTAGTTCCTAAGCAAGAGGACTTGACAGCGTCATTTGTCATACAGGGTCATCCTAAATTCACCTGATAAATGGAGTAGTCACCTGTGTTTGCTAACTGCATTTATCCAAAGGAAAAATAAATTTCCAGATCTTTATAAGAGGAGGTAAGTTTGCAACTTGGAGCTAGGCACCAGCTGAAGTTAAGCTCCTACCTTCCCACAGAAACTGGGAGGTAGGGACCCTATCTTCCTTAATGATTGCATTCAAAGAGAGGGCTCCCAGGTCCATAAGAAAGATTTTCCTGGGTTATAAAACTGGCAAGAGGCTTAGCTTTTAAAAATATTTACATTCATTTCAAAAGGGCAAAAATAATTCACAATAACAACTATTCTTTTCCCTATTTTGCACCAGGGAGAATTAAAATTTACTTCTTCTACTTTTAATTTGTATTTGTCCTTATACCCCTCATTTCAAATATGATCAAAGCTAATATTCGTTGAATGCTCACTATATACTGGGTGCTTCGGCACACAACTGCCTCAGTTAATCCGCTTATAACCTAAAAAGTAGATAGTGTTATCGCCATCCTCATTTGATGGATGAGTACACTGTGGTCCAGAAAGGCTGAATGACTTGCCCACAGAATCACAGAATTCCATCCCAGAGCTGTCCGATTCCAAAATCAACGACCCTAACCACCACGCTACAATGCTGTCAAAGAGGAGGCTGAAACCCAGTAGCTCTTAAGATGTAGAAATACTAGGTTCGGGGGAGAAGGCTACAAAAGACCTCACGGAAGCCCGCGAAATAACCGGGGCCCGGCGTCAGGACCATAGAGTGGGATTAAGGGCGGGATGCATGCCCGAGAAAAAGTGGCATCTTAGAAAACATACAGCACCGTGTACCAGTAACGCGGTCAGGCAACCACCAGTCCCCAATCTCGCCCAGCTGCTAACCTGACCTCTCCGCTGGACCCAGTTCCGCGTCATCACCGAGTCCTACCTTTCCAATCCACCCTCTCAGGCCTCCACTGCTCCGGTCTCGCAGCTGCACTCGATTGGTCGAGCCTGAGCCAGCATGGCGGCGCCCGTGTAAACAAGTCCGTACCGCGAAGGCGACGGCGGCGCTGCTCGCGGGGATCAGAAGTCACCATGCTGAGAGTGGCGTGGAGAACGCTGAGTTCGATCCGGACCCAGGCAGTGACCTGGGCCCCAGTCCTTGGGCTGCCAGGTGGAGGGTGCTCCCGGCTTCCCTCCGACCACTGGGGCCTTCGTGCATCTCCTCGCGGTGAGCTTTGAAACTGGACGGCGGAAGTAGGCAAAGGGTTCGGGGGAGATGGAAGATACAAAAAGACGAGGATAGAGAACAAGTGCCGCGGCAGGATAAAAGAGAAAGAAAGCGGCAAGGGTAGGGAAGAAGTGAGACGATGTTGGGAGAGGTATGGGGCAGCGGGTGCGTTAGAAATGGGGCGGTGGTTAGACCCATGTGCGAAGATCCATGGAGGAAGATCCATGGAAAGGAATCGAGGCTGGACTATTTAAAGAGATGGCCTCAGCTCGCTCTCTTTTACGTAGGTCTCAGTCTCCCGGCCGCCCGCGGATATGCCATCCAGAAACCAGGTAAGATCTCTTAGGTGAGACTTCAGAAGGAAGAGACCGCTTGAAGGGCTTGGGCTGGCCAAGGGGACAGAGGCATTTAGTTAGAGCCACTAGATGGGTTGGGCCAAAGATCTTGAGCAGAAGACCCCCACGTCCACCTTATCACAAAGCTGTAGCCTGAAGCGGGGCGAGGAGAGGTGGAGCTCGGGAGAAGGAACCTTTGGACATTGTTTGAGTAAAGAAGAGCTGCCCAGATGGAGCCTTCCCAGGCCTACCGAATACATAGCACTTTATGTCTGCCCTGCTGAGGTGGAGGGTTTGATTTCCCCTTTCAAGGCATTCTGCGTAATGGTAAAGATCTCTCTTACTAGGTAAATGATGTTGGGCAAGTTACTTATTCTCCCCCAGTCTCATTCTAAAATGAGTTTAAGAGTGTCTATTTGGCAGGATTGTTGTTGAGTCGATGATAACACATGAAAAGCATCCTTAGCACTGTGTGCAATAAACTGTAGTACATATTAGTAGTTATTGCTATAAATGTCACTTGTATAATGGCAGAGTAAGTCTGACTAGAGAGGCAAGTTGATCTCCCCCAGACCTCTCCCTCACCTCCAAGGGAAGTCAGGAATGCACATACAAAGAATGAAGATGCCTTGTGGTTTGTAGCTGGAGCTTACATTTCAGGTGTCCTAAAGCTAAGGATTCCTCTTCATCCCCCTTATTTCATCCATGCAGTCAGCCCGCAAGTGTTCGTTGAATGCCTATTCTGTGCTGGGCTATGGGTCAGACTGGGGGATTCAAAGGGAGTCAAATTCAGTCCACCCAAAGGAGGAACCATCCTATTGGGGATGACAACTGTAGAGCCAAACAAGCGTGTGAGAAGTGAAGGCGCAGTACAGGGTCTTGGGAAATGCCATCTACTCCCATCGTGTAATTTCAAAGCAGGTGCCCAGGGAATTGCAGGAAGAAACTAAGCTCAGAGATAGTCCAGAGCCTTGCTTGAGACCCTGGATGTCTCTAACAGAGTTGGTAAGAAGAACCAAGTCAGAGAATGGGCAGTGAAAGTTGATGCTGGGTGTTTTCCATCCCTCCACTTGACAGTCCAGCCCAGCCAAGAAGATGACCCACCCCCTTCCACGCTGCTCAAAGATTACCAGAACATCCCTGGAATTGAGAAGTAAGTAGTAAGAAATCTCTTTGCTGAGCAGGGGACCATGGGAGGATTGGCAAGGAAAGGGGGAAAAACAGTGACTTTGAGGCCTGGCCTGCTGTTTCTGAAGCTTAAATATAGAGTGGGGCAGAGAACTATAGAAGCCCGGGAGTGGTGAAGGTGAGTGGGGTGGGACAGATGGAGTTTATGGGGATCAACTGCTTGCTTTTTTTGTGCTCTAGGTGAAAACCTTATACTTTTAGATGCCAAGGAGGCAACATGCCTCACGAGCCTTTGTAGAAATCTCTCATCTCTCTTGATTCTCACAAAAGCTCCTTGAGGGGAGAAAGTATCCCCATTTTATGGATAATCAAGCTGCCCAATGTCATCCTAAGGGGCAGAGCTGGGCTAAATGACATCCCAGGCTAAATGACACCAAAGCCAGGATGCTTCTGCTCAGATCCTGTCTTGCATGTCAGTAGCTAGGCAGTCCCTCTAGTCCCTCCCACTGTGCTATGTGACTTGAGAAAGAAACAATGATTATAGAATTGAAATGTCTCAGGAAAGATTGAACCATATTCCAACTAAAATGGAAATCCTCCCTTTGCCCGCCCTGTGACAAGCCTGGAACACTTAAGCTGACAGCTTCAGTTTTCCGTAGTTATCACATCATTCCATGTGCTCAGCCCAGCAAATTAGATCTGCTCTGACTGTTAATCCTTGAGAAATAGCTCCTAACTTCCAGAGAGACTCATTTGTTTTTAAAAAAGAAGTTTTCAGTCATCCTTGCTTTTCAAACTAAACTAAAAGAGCATTGTTTCCCTTTTCCCTTCTACCCCTACATCTGTCTCTCATTGCTGTGGTTTTTCCACAGGGTTGATGATGTTGTGAAAAGACTCTTATCTTTGGAAATGGCTAACCAGGTGAGTGGCCTATGCCAAATCTTGGCCTCAATACCCCCAGATTGAGCATCTCAAGGGCAGGGAGAGTCTTGTTTCCCCTTTGTACGACTAGCACCTGATGAACAGTAGGCACTCAATGAAGAGCTAATGCCTGAATGAATGAGCATGCTTTGGGGACATTCATCCAACAAGCCATTTCTCCCATCAGTAGTATTGGCCTGGGGCTCACTTAAATGTAAATAGCCATGTGGTTTGCCAGAGTCCATTCCCTAGTAGCAGCCTGAGGTCAAGCCCTGAGCCTTATGGCCTAGTTGCAATGACTGTAGCCATGGTCTTGGAGGTATAAAGGCTAATCCTTACGGAGGGCAGACTTCACAGATTCTCTCTCTCTATCTTTAACAGAAGGAGAAGCTAAAAGTCAAGCAAGAGCAGTTGATGAACAAGGTCATGGCAAACCCTGAGGACACCAGCGCTCTGGAGGCTCGAAGTTGGTTAGGGGGCCTTCGGGGAGTGGGGGTGCAAGGAAGTCTGCTAGCTAGTACTTGATCCAGAGCCCTTGTCTGCAGGTACACTAGGGATTACATGTGACTTGTTAAAGGGAGAGACAGGAAGGATCGAAAGAAATGAAAATCGGACTGTGTATCTTGAGCTATGTGATACTGGAGTCAGTGCCTAGGACCTGCCTCATACCTCTGTGAGCTCAGGCATAGTTCTTCTGGAACCAAAGCTCGTCTCTCTGTCTCTCTCCACTCTGCAGCTTTGGTGGTATAAAGGGACCATGTGGTCAGAGCCAGGGTTCCCACTGCACTGTCTTCAGTGCTCCCAAAACTCGATGTGTGTATAGGAAGGGCCTACTATAGTTACAGCCTCTCCTTGGGGCCACCTTTTGTTCTTTTCTCCATACTTGCAATATAGGCAGGAATCAAACAGTAGCATATATGAAGGAAGGATATTCTGGAGCATTGGACATGAGTGGGAGTTGATAATTCTGAAAACTCATTAGTGAAAACACAGATAAGAGTGGCAGCTGGAAGGGGAGAGGCAAGGAGCAGACCTTTGACAGTTTGGGAATCTCGTTACATTGGCTAGGACCCCCAGTGCAATGCAGAACCATTACCCATGATAGCATGCATCCTAAACTAATTCCTGAATTTAATAGAAATGCTCTAAAGTTTTACCGTTAAGAATGCTATTTGCTATGGTTTGGGGATGATACCTTTGTAAGATTAAGGAGCTTCCCTCCCTTAGGCTTTTCTTTCTGAAGGGAAGATAATCCAAAGTCTTTTGAAATCTTGAAATTCAGAGTGCTTCAGGAATTATAGAGAGCTGTACAAGAGCCTTGGCGATGGTTATTCTTTGAGGTCTTAAAACATAACCCAGGCCTGAGCCCTTCCTTCCTCTGTGCCTGACTCTCATCCTCTGTGGTTTGTGGTTTCAGTTGTTGCCCTGACTGTCAAGATCCGCAATTATGAAGAACACATGCAGAAACATCGAAAGGTAAACCTTGAGCATCGCTCACAGCTAAACACCAGCAGCTTGGGCAGAGGGGTCTGAGAATTGAAAGGCTCTGGGTCCAGAGAGGCAGCTTGAGAAACCAGGTGGCTACAACACCAGAGTGCCCACCCCTCAGCTAAAGTGAGAAAAACATTTCCCTCCTGCCTCCAATAAAGAAATGGAAGCCTTCCAGGGCCATATTGAATGTCACCAATGTCAAGAATACAAACTTTAGAGCATGGTCACAGTGTCTTGGCACATAGCGGATTCTCAGTAAATATCTATTGAATGCATGGATGAGGTCAGATTAAGCTTGGTTCAAACTTTCACTTAACTATCTGTGTGACTCCAGAGAAGTTACTTTATATGCCTCAGTTCTCTTCTCTGTAAAATAGGGATCATAATAGTACCTGCTGACAGGATTACAAGGACTATATGGAAATAATATCATATAATAATGTCAACCATAATTTAAAAAATAAAATAATAATTGTAGCAGCCAATATGATGCATACAAAGTATTTAGGCCTCTTACTAATATTTTACATGCATTAGCTCATTTAATCTTTATACCCATCTTTCTATCCCATTTTGCAGTGGAATAATCTAGGCATGGAGTAGTTAAGTTATTCCTCAAGACACAGCACTAGGAATCGATGCGCTAGGACTTCAAATAGGAGATCTCGTTCCAGGGCCCATATTCTTAACCATTATGTCATATCTCAGCACAGTGTTGGGCACAGAGCTGCTATAATTAGGCAATGGCTGGTATTTTTAATAAACACACAGTTGCGAATACAGAGTGGTCTAGCTCCAGCCTGTATTTCCTGGAGCTGGTTGAGCCTGTTCCTTGGAGATCAGAGTTTTGTTCATTTGAAGTGTGGAACACCAGCTGCATTGAAGAGGTCCCTTACAGAGCAGCACCTGGCTGCAGATAGGAATCTCTAGGAAGGGCAAAAGGCTTTCCCTCCTCTCCACCGCAGTTGACAGTTTGCTGAGCTGTGGAGAGGCTGAGTGGGTGGTGCAGGGGAAAGAGCATGAGATTTGGAGTGAAACCAGTAAACCTGTATTCAAGACCTGATAACATCATTGAGCCTTTATTTTCCCATCTGTAAAATGGGAATAACAATGACAATACCTACCCCAGTTGCACTAATATTTGCATAAGATTGTTGGGAGGTTTCAATGAAATGGTAAAATGACCATCCATTATTACTGTGAAGTGGCATGCCATTTTCTTATATTAAAAAGAATACCAACTCACTTTACAGGACAAAACCCACAAGCGCTATCTGCTGATGAGCATTGACCGGAGGAAAAAGATGCTCAAAAACCTCCGTAAGACCAACTATAATGTCTTTGAGAAGACATGCAAGGAGCTGGGGATTGAGTACACCTTTCCTCCTCTGTACCACCGAAAAGCCCACCGCCGCTGGGTGACCAAGAAGGCTCTGTGCATTCAGGTATGAGTCCAAATTGCTGCTTTGGTTGGCCCTGCTCTGGGACTGTGGTGGAGAGAGCAGAAGGGAGGGGTTGAATGTTTCTGAGGGAGGTGTGGAACTGGCCCCAAGGCCTTGCAGTGGCTCACAAACCACCAACCCATGGAGAAAAGCTGGGCTGACCAGCTGGGGAAGTCAGTTCCCACCCCATCTGCTCCCAGTCAGAGGTTTTGCATAGAATTACAAAGTCTTCCTGCTTCCTCCATCTCCAGGTTTTCCAGGAGGCTCAAAAGCTGAAGAAGCAAAAAAGGGCCTTAAAAGCTGCAGCAGCAGCCAAGAAACAAGGCCAGACGAACCCACAGAGCCCTTCCAAAGCCGGGCCAGAGGCAATCAAGAAAAACCAATAAATTTTGTTAAAGTTATGTGTTTCTGCCTTGAAGAATAATAGGGAAGGTGGGGCTCTTTATGGCCTGAGGAGGAGGAGGAATTCATTCTTTCATTCAGCTCTGGGATCTCAGGGTTGCCTGAGGCAGAGACCCTGCCCTCACACCCTGCCTGACCACAGACGCAGGTGCCCGAGACACTCTCATAACACACCTTACATACACTCACACAAACAACTCCCTGTCATCCAGGTGGCATTTCAGTGGAGGCAGACTGAACACTGCAGCACTGGTAGTAGTGTAGCTGGCTGGCTGCTAGGTAAGAATGCCAGGGGAGTATAGGAGATGGTGGAGATGTCTCTAAAAAGGTAGTTGGAGACAGAGTGGAGTGCCCTGAACACCATGCCAGGGTGATCTGTCAAAGAGATGTGTCATATTAAAAGTGCTATCTTCTGCAATTTAGCCTAGCAAAGGAAAGAGCTGTAATATGGAAGAACACAGTAGTACAGAGAAAGAAAGATAAATATAAGAAAGATTTTGGAGGAAAAACTAGAATTTGGTGACCGATAATAGGACTCAGGAAGATAGAGCTGAGACCAGGATCAGCTTTGAAGTCTGAGTGGTTAAAGGAAAAGATGATTAGTAGGTTTTAGAAATACTGAAATTTACAGAAATGGATGCTCATCAACATATA